TGGACCACAACTACCACGGCTTCCACCAGACTGTGTCTGGCACAACTAGATAGATGGCGCCTACCACCACCGACTGCTCTGACAGGGATCACAATAGATGGTCCCAGACAGAGCTGGAGAAAAATGTAGAACAAAATTCAAACTCAAAAAAATTAAAAAAATAAAAAAAAAGACCAGACTTACTGGTCTGACAGAGATTGGAGAAACCTCAAGAGTATGGCCCCTGGATACCTTTTTAACTCAGTACTAAACACTCCTGAGGTTCATCCTTCAGCCAAAGATTAGACAGGCCTATAAAACAAACAATAACACACAGTTCAACCATGTATATGAGACTAAATGGGCACACCAGCCCAAGGGCAAGGACGAGAAGGTAGGAGGAGATAGGAAAGCTGGACGAACAGACACAGGAAACCCAAGGTCGAGAAGGGGAGAGTGTTGACACGTCACAGGGTTGGCAATCAATGTCACAAAACAATTTGTGTATTATTTATTGAGAAACTAATTTCCTCTGTAAACTTTCACCTAAAGCAGAATCAAAAAAAAAAGTTGCTGTCAAGTCAATTCTGATTCATGGCAACCCTATGTGTCAGAGTAGAACTGTGCTCCACAGGGTTTTCAATGGCTGATTTTTCAGAAGTAGATTGCCTGGCCTTTCTTCTGAGGCATGTCTGGGTGGATATGAAATTCCAACTTTTTGGTTAGCAGCTGAGATGTATGGTTAAGACATGCTCTCATACCAGGGAACAGAGCACTGGCTTCTTAAATATCTGTTAAATATACCATATTTCCTTGATTCTAAGATGCCATCAATTACAAGACTAAATTACAAATCAACTAAATTACAAATACCATGTTAAATGTACATACAAATTGTATGATTTGTCCCAATTGCAAAAATTATTATAATGGGGAAAATGTGTCTAGAATCAAGGAAATACTATATTATTTCTTTCAATAGCTTTATTGAGATATAATTTACATGCCAGAAAATTCACCCATTTAAAGTGTACAATTCAATGGTTTTTAGCATATTTATAGAGTTGTGCAATCACGTTGTTGTTAGTTGCTGTGGACTCGATTCTGACTCACGGCAACCCCATGTGCAACCATTACCATAATTGAATTTTAGAACATTCCGTCATCCCCAAAAAAAGCCTTGTACCCATTAGCAGTCGCTCCCTATTTTCCCTCACCGCCATCTTCCCTTCTCCCTGCCATCCATAGGCAACCACTAATCCAATTTCTGTCTCTATAAATTTGCCTATTCTGGGTATTTCATATAAGTAGAATTATACAAGAGGTCCTTTGTGACTAGTTTCTTTTGCTTACATAATGTTTTTGAGGTTCATCCATGTTATAGCATGTGAATGACTAAAAAATATTCCATTATAAAGATAGACTATATTTTGTTTATCCATTCATCAGTTGAGGGACATTTGGCTCGTTTCCATTTTTTGGCTATTAGGAATAACACCACTACGAGCATACATGTTCAAGTTTTTGTGTGGACGTATGTTTCCATTTCTCTTGGGTATTTACCTAGGAGTGAAATTGCTGGATCAAATGGTAACTCTATGTTTAACATTCTGAAGAACTATCAGACTGTTTTCCAAACAGCTGCACCATTTTACATTCCCACCAGTAATATCCGATGGTTCCAGTTTTTCCACATTCTTGCCAACACTTGTAATTGTGTTTATTACATCATTCTGTGTATTATATCTTATAATATTCCACAGAATACTACATAAAGATGAACTAACTCTCTCAGTTGGATATTTACAGTGGAATTTTCTCCAATACAAACGAGAGCTTTGCCGTACTCTTCCGGTTTTCCTTCTGATTAGCAAAGACACTATTAAAATGCCTACGATGGGTTTGCTGGTAAAATCTGGGACATTAGAATGGTCTATCCTCTGTGTAAAGCTAGTGTGAGAACAGAGCCAGGGATGCCCACGTCATTTGCACTGTTATTCCACAAACCAAAATATGGAAAACACTCAGTTTTAAGAGTCCAGCATTTTACTCTTTTTTTTTATAGCCCTGTCTCTAAAACAATGACTCGCATTTTTTCCATCAATTTTTCACAACATCCATCCTAAGTACTTTATATACTCACACTCCAGAGAGCCTCTCTCCACTGTAGTTAATAACTTCACCCTCTGGCTAAAAAGTTAGAAAGGAATTTTAAAACCCCAGGTGAAAACTTAAGGATGTCTTCATCAGGGCACTCATTCACCAGCCAGGGAACAATGTTCCAAAATGCTGATATCACTTGACTAAAATTAATTCCCATTAATTGATTACTCTCAGGAAGACTCATGATTTAAACTAACACAACAACCAAAGAAAGTTTATATTTTCCAGTCACCTGTATCATCTAATAATTTCCACTTACTTTCAGGCTTTGCATCTGCTGCTGCACTGTGCATGCTTTTCAGCTGGTTTTGTACTCTTTGTAGTCTCTGGACTGCATGAAATAGCTTTAAAATACAATTAGATCCATTAATTGGTTAGCCTATTGAAATCTACCACTCACACAGGCAAGCAAGGAAATATACAAGTTCCACATAATTCTAGGGATATAAAAGAAGTAATAAGAACAACTAAGAAAATTACTATGTTCAATCTAAAATACAATTGGCTGTCTAATACCATTTCATGTAAAAAAATTTTTTTAAAGCTTTCAGAATTTTTTTTAGCTACTTGTCCAATTTGGTGATCAAAGAAAAATGCTTGTTAAAGAAATATATGCACAGGCTTTTCTTGTCATAACATGATTTTCTTAATTCTAAGGAATGTGAATATTCTCATAAATGACGTCTCAGAACCAGAAACTGATGCTAAGGGACCATCTGGAGCTTGGGTGTGATGCTTAAGGTTGTGTGTCAATATGGTTGGGCCACGATTCTCAGTGGCTTGGCAGTTATGATGTAGTTCGGTAGTTATGCAATGATGGAATCACCTATGAGATCTGATATAACGTAAACATCACCATGATGAGGTCTGCTATGAGCAGCCAATCAGTTGAAAGGGAGTTTCCTTGGGGGTGTGGCCTGCATCCAATATATATCAACTTTCTGGCAAAGCTCACTGGTTTTTGCTTTGCTCTGGATCCTGCGTTTGGCTCATCATCATCTGACCTCCGGTTCTTGGGACTTGAGCCAACAGCCTGTCATTTTACCTGCTGATCTTGGATTTGTCAGCCTCCACAGTCTATGAGCTAGTAGCCTGCTGTCTGACCTGTCAAGCTTGAGTTCATCAGCCCTTGCAGCTACACGAGTCAGAAGCCGCCGGTCTAATGCCTTACCCACAGACTTGGGACTTTCCAGCCTCTACAATGACGTGAGCCATTGCCTTCATGGAAATTTCTCTCTCTCTCTCTCTCTATACATATACGTATATATACACGTATACACACACACACACACACACACACACACACACTTATATATACATACACATATACAAATGCTTTATTGGTTTTGCTTCTCTAGAAAACCCAGCCTAACTCGCTGGGCAATGCAACAATGCTGCAGTGACACCACTATAATGACAGGTCAAGCTTCAAAAGAGCCAAATGTCTAAACTACCAATTTATAGGAAGCAAAGCTGATTTTAAATATATTTTTATTGTGCAAGTCCACCCAGATTTTAAATAATAAACGTAAATACTTTCCGGCCAAATTATATTTTCTGTAAGGCAAAGTCTAAAAATGTGGCGTGTGTGTGAATTTGAGCCTTTTCATGATTTGATTATTCGCCACTAAAGTTTAGAGGGTACTGTGATCAATGGAACGAGCTCTGGTGGCACAGTAGTTAAAGCACTTGGCTGCTAACCGAGAGGTTGGCAGTTTGAACCCACCAGCTGCTCCACAGGAGAAAGATGTGGCTGTCTGCTTCGGTAAAGATAATAGCCTTGGAAACCCCATGGGACAGTTCTAGTTGGTCCTATAAGGTCATTATGAGTCAGAATTGACTCAATGGCAATGAGTTTTTGGTGATCAATGGAATAAAAAGGATATTCTCAATACCCCCAGAATATCAGGAAGCCCTTTAGAGATTCTAGAAGTTTTATGGAAACTCTGTTGGCATAGGGGTTAAGAGCTACGGCTGCTAACCAAAAGTTCGGCAGTTCGAATCCTCCACGTGCTGCGTGGAAACCCTACGGGGCAGTTCTACTCTGTTCTAGAACTTTTGTAAACAGTTAATCTTACTGCTTAACATTTACAATGAATCTTGGGACAATACATTATAATACAATACATAACAGTAATGTTGGGACAATATGAGCTAAGCATACACCCAAAACAAAAAAACCAAAGCCATTGCTGTCGAGCAGAAATGCCCCATAGGGTTTCCAAGGACCGCCTGGTAGATTCGAAGACAGAGTACAGAACCCAAAAGGTGGTATTGTTGCTTTTGGTGTCACAAGACACTCTTAATATTAAAAGAGTATTTTATCATCTTAACAAAATAAAGGGAAACACGAGCTTCTTTAATTCTAAAATTCTTCTTTCTTTACATTTGAATTATCAGAGGAACTATTTCTTTCATCATGAGAATATAAATTTTTATGTTGACACCTGATTCTTTTGTTCCTGTTTCTGCTGTGCAAGAAATTCTTCTCTCTCTTTTTCAACTCGAAGTTGCCTTGCTATTTTAAGCATTCGTTGATGATTCTGAACTGTCTCCACCTACAGTAAGGGAATAAGTAGTACATGTTACTGTCAGGTTTGAGAAAGAAATAGCATGTCACATGACTCAGACATCCATTTCTCATCTTCTTTTGGTAAACAGTACTCCCTAGAGATGACAGTAAAGCTCTAGACTCTAGGTCCTTGAAATTTCGTTTTGGGCTACTGCCTAGGGAGGCTCCCTTTCCGTCAATGTTATTTGAGTCTATCTTCAGATGGACACCATGCCTGGCTTAACCTTTATTTGCATTCCTACATCTTCGCAAGTCCTTGGGAGTTGGGGCCAAAGTCTTACAGTGTTCATTCTTGCCTTACCCTTTTCTTCAAACGTTCAACTCTCTTAATGAGCTGATCCTTCTCTTCCTCCATTGCACTGATATCCTAGGAGATAGCAAAGAGGACATTATAAGAAAAAGTATTCTCAGTAGGTAGAATTCAGATAAGGTCTTTATATGTGTATGCGGGTACCATTTTCCTCACAACTAGAGCATTAAAGTAACAAAGATCCTCTTTTGGATGAAGAGCATTTCTATTTTTCCCCCAGGGTTCCTTATGCAGGGTAATTTATTTGGCAGCTTGGTGTTCATCTAGAAAAGCAACTAAAACAGGTTATAATGCAGCAAGGTAAAGCTGCCAGGCAGCACATTTGGGTTCTGATTCCAAATATGGGTACATGATTTTTAAAAAATCTTCCATCATGGAAAGTGTGCTGGTCTAAACGCATGAACAACAGCTGCTGACATCCCATCTGCTGTTAAATACCAAACCATACATTTTGCCAATTTTCCATCAAAATAATTTTTTATGGCTCTGGCGTTTTTAAGACATAAAATGTATCTGTTTTTGCTAATTAACCAATTCCCCTCCTGAAAAGAAAGGCTTCAAAAATAAACTACCTTCCCATGGTCTCAAGGAACACCTAGCTCAATCGGCATAACACAGTTTATAAAGAAAATGTTCTACATTCTACTTTGGTGAGTAGTGTCTGGGGTCTTAAAAGCCTGTGGGCGGCCATCTAAAATACTCCACTGGTCTCACCCCTTTGGGGGCAAGCAAAAATGAAGAAAACTAAAGACCCAAGGGAAAGATTAGTCCAGAGGACTAATGGGCCACAACTACCACGACCTCCACAGACTGAGTCCAGTACAACTAGATGGTGCCCGGCTACCACTATTGACCGCTCTGACAGGGATCACAACAGAGCTGGAGAAAAATGTAGAACAAAATTCTAACTCAAAAAAGACCAGACTTACTGGCCTGACAGAGACTGGAGAAACCCCAAGAGTATGGCCCCTGGATACTCTTTTAGCTCAGTAGTGAAGTCACTCTGGAGGTTCACCTTTTAGAGAAAGATTAGACAGACCCATAAGACAAAACAAGACTAAAGGGGCACCAGCACAGGGGCAAGGACTAGAAGGCAGGAGGGGACAGGAAAGCTGCTAATAGGGGACCCAAGGTGGAGAAGGGAGAGTACTGACACGTGATGGGGCTGTTAACCAATGTCATAAAACAATACATGTACTAACTGTTTAATGAGAAGCTAGTTTGTTCTGTAAACCTTCATCTAAAGTACAATTAAAAAAAAACAAAAAACAACTACCTTCCTTTTAACTAAAACCAAACCAAACCTGTTGCTGTTGAGTTGATTCCGACTCACAGTGACCCTAAAGGACAGAGTAGAACTGCCCCATAGGGTTTCTAAGGAGCAGGTGGTGGATTTGAACTGCAAGCCTTTAGGATGGTTAGGAGCCGTAGCTTGCTGTAACTCTTAACCACTGTGCCACCAGGGCTCCCTGTGCCATCAGGGCTCCCCCTTTTAACTAGCTCCATAATATTTTTTAAATGAAAACAAACAAAACTAAAACTAAAAAAAGAAAAAAGAAATCTGACTCTCACAGTAATAATAAAGGTGAAATATGTACGGCAGTCAGTATTGACAGAATTGTGAAAATGGGCACGCTTACTCACTACTGGTGGGATTGTACTGAAGAATAATATCAAAAGTCTTAAAAATGTATATACCTTCTGACCCAGTTATTCCACTTCTGAGAACTTGTCCTAATAAAATATTCATGAAATGGCACAGTCTTCTCTATGAGGATTCTCATCATAGTGTTAATTATATCTAAAATTTGGAAATGACTGGAAAGTCTGGGGATAATTAAATAAATTATGTTAAATAAATGACAATGAAAGTCACTAAAGATTATGGAGGAAAATGCTTAATGCCATGGGAAAATGTTATGATTTGACATTACTTATAAGAGGCAGATTACAGCATTTATACTATATATAGTACAATACCAAGAAAAAGATTTAAATATATTCACCAAAACGTCAATAGTGGTTATCTGAGGAGCACAGGATTTTGAGTGAATTATTTTCTATTTCTGGTTTAATCATACTTTCTAAATTTTCTACAAGTACTATGGTTCAAGACTACTTTGGTAATAACGACTGGAAATAAAAATACAGACTTGAGGTTCTTCTACCATTTTTGGTTTACTCACAGTGACGAAATGGAGATATGGGAGATGGGTATCTATCATTCTTCTTCCACGTTATGTTATAAATGTCTGCTTCTAGGTCTTTCTCCCCCACTAGAGCTGAGTTCACCTTTCATTTGTAATATATTTAAAAAGCTCTTACTGAGAACCTACCACGTGGCCAGGACTGCAATAGGCACTGGGAATACAGTGGTGAACAAGATATACAGACATGGTCCTTGCCCTCATGGTGCTTAAAGGTAGTCGGGAAGACAGACATTAATGTGATTTTACATGTAATGAGTGTCATAAAACAATAAGAACTGGATGACCTAATCTATCCGGGGGATCAGGGAAGACCTCCCTGAAGACATAACATCTGTTTCCTGATTGAATGAAAAGATACAGATGACACAGATACCTCAGGAATTCTAAAAAAACAAAATCCATGCAGGTGAATATTAGTAAGTGTTTGGGGAGATGAGAACTTTCATATAAACTTGGTGAGAATGTAAAAATGTTTTTTGGAGAACATTTAAGTAACATGCATCAAAAGTCATAATAATTTTATGTGCTTTAATAAGCAAATCCATTTCTGGAAATTTATTCTAAGGAAATAATCACAAACATATGAAAACAATTTATATGGGAAATAATTAGAATTATCTGTAATACCAAAAAATAAAAACAAAAATGGACAAACTATCCACACCGTGGAATATTATTTAGGAATTAAAAATCATATTGTAGAAAAATAATGAGGGGATTATATTCACAACATAATGATTAAAAAAGCAAGATACAAGGAATTATGTACAGCGTAGTCACAAGTATGTGTGTGTGTTATACACACACATACCTACACATGAAAAGAAAGCCTAAAAGGATATATACTAAAATGTTAACAACTGGATGGTTTTCTTCTTCTTTGTTTTTTCTGCACTTTCTATAATATATATGTGATATATATTTATATAAAATGCACTGCTGTTGAGTCAATTTCTACTCATAGCAGCTCTACAGGACGGAGCAGAATAGCCTCATAGGGTTTCCAAGACTGTAAATCTTTATGGAAGCAGATTGCCACATCTTTCTCCCACAGAGCAGAGGTGGGTTCAAACCACCAGCCTTTTGGTTAGTAGCTGAGTGCTTTAAACACGACACAACCAGGGCTCCATATATACATATATATCTCACTTAATCAGGGAAAGAGTCAAAACATAACCTCTTTAAATCCATGGTAATGGTCAATACAGCACATAAGAACTCACTGTAAACATACTATGGCCTCATTAATCTCTTCAGTAAAGAACTACCAAAGGACCTACCAAAGAAAATCTGCTATTTGCTATCACTAGTTCCCACAAGGTCTTAAGAGATATACTGAATTAACTAAAAATAACAGTGATGATTCCAATATTATTCAAATCCAAATAAATATTATTATGAGTACTTTTCTTTATTTACCCTTCTTATTTCTGCTGTAGAAAATCCAGATGTCTTAAGTTGCTCACATTCTTTATGCAAAGTTTTAAAGGCTTCCATCAGTTCTTCATACTAAAATAAGTTAGAAAATTATAAATGAATGACTAGATCCAGTAGGCTTTACTTAATCAGGTTATCTATTAACTTACAGTGATTACTTAAATCATTATAAGAACAGCATTAAAAATGCATCCTTAAACATCTATGTAGGACACAAAAATAGGTCTGTATAATCCAGCCATTAAATACTTCTCCTCCTGCTTCATCTCTGCTTACTTTCCACCTCCTACTCCTCACTAGAGCTATGTTGATATTCTTTCAGTTGATGGAACATTCCACGCTCTCACTTCTAGTTTATACATCCTACTGCCTCTGAGATTACTCCATGACCCCATCATTTCTAACTTGGATAACTCCTATTTATCCTTCAGGCCTCAGCAGAGATACCACTATCCTCAGAGAAGCATTCTCTGGTCCTGTACCCATCCAATCAGAGTAGATTATCACATAAATATTACACATGCCTAGTCACTTGCCTGTCTCCCTTCATTAGACAGTGAGAGGCAAGAGGGCAGGAATCACATTGATTTTGTATACCTTTGTACCCCTGGGACCCAGCATATGGCATAATTCATAGAGGTGCTCAATTACAAGTTGTTGAATGAATGAAAAAATCCGAACTGTTCCCTGAAAACTTTTTAAATAGGATTTTTTTTGGGTAATGACAGGAAATAAATAATATTTTTCTTGACTGATCATGTCCCACAAGTCTACAAATCATTCACATAATAATTTATTCTAAAACTCTTCTTTCAGAAAGACAATGCAAATTTCCCATTAGGGTCTCTGCTAAACGACTGGCTAGGTGTGCATGTCATTTGAGATCCACCCTCAGATCAGCTTCAAGAATAAGGCATGTCTTTACTACCAGTAATTCTGCCAAGAATAAGCTGAGCATAGTTAGTAAAAACTATTAATAAACCTCCTCCAGGGGAATTAGTTTTCATCAAATCTATTGATGGAGGAGAGGAGAGAGGAGAAAATATTTCACATTTGCATTTCTACATTTCCTACATGATTTTAAACCTTCAAAGGCAGGGACTAGGTGATTCTCCTTCTGCTCTACTTTTCCCATGGCATCTATGGTGACATTTAACATTCAAAAACAATCAGTAAGATGCAAATCAAAACCACAATGAGATACCATTTCACTCTTAAAAGCTTACAAGCAACCATCCAAGGCACAATTGGTCTCTATTCACCTGCAGCAACAGGGGAAGAAGGAGTATCAGGAATAGAAGGAAGATATAGAATGTGTGGCTAATTGTCTCCATGAATAACCGCCTCCTTTTAGAGACCAGAAGAACTGGGTGGTTCCCGGCTACCACCAATGATCACCGTCACAGGGAACGCAACAGAGAGTCCCTGACGGAGCAGCAGAAAAGTGGGGTGCAGAACTCAAATTCACATAAAAAGACCAGACTTACTGGTCTGACTGAGACTAGAGGAATCCCAGAAGACACAGCCCATGGACTCTCTGTTAACCCAGAACTAAAAGCATTCCCAAAGCCAACTCTTCAAAGATTAGACTGGATTATAAAACAAAATAATACTCGTGAAGAGTGTGCTTCTTAGTTCAAGTAGATATACGAGACTAAATGGGCAGCTCCTGTCCAGAGGCAGGATGAGAAGGCAGAAAGGGATAGATAGGAGCTGGCTGAATGGACACGGGAAACATGAGGTGGAAGGGGCAAGTGTGCTGTCAGATTACAGGGACTGCAACTAGGGTTATGTAACAATACGTGTATAAATTTTTGTATGAGAAATTAACTTGAGCTGTAAACTTTCACCTAAAGCACAACAACAACAACAAAAAAAAAGAGAGACAGAGAGAGAAAGGGGAAGGGGGAAATGAAGAACAGAATTTTAAATTTTCACGGACTCTAGACTTCCTGGAGCCATGGAGGGTGGATGAACCCCTGAAACTACTGCCCTGAGATAATCTTTAAACCTTAAACCAAAAATATCCCCTGAAGTCTTTTTTTGTGTGTTGTTGACAGTTTCTTTGTTCCACTTAATTTTCTGTGCTGTCGTTTTTCTTACATATTTTCATGTTTTTCGTTGTTGTTGATTTTGCGTTTGCTGAGTCTTCTATATTTTTCTAGTTTTTTATTTTGACTTGTAGAATTGTTAGTTTCCTTTGTGGTTACCGTAATAATTTACTTCTATTTTTCTAAGTTTATACCAGTCTTTTATTTCTTTATATCGCCTTGACTTCCTCTCCATATGCAAAATCCATGTCTACATTTTTTAAGTCCCTCTTTTTTGTTTTAATGTCGTCATCTTTTATATACTGACACCTGTTTCCCTATTTTCAGTGTTTTAGCTTTGATTTACTTTTGTGACTTCCCTATCTGGGTTGATATCTGGTTGTTCTGTCTAGCGTTCTAGTCTTGGGTTGTTATTTGATGTTACTGATTTTCTAACTGGAGGACTCCCTTTAGTGTTTCCTGTAATTCTGGTTTGGTTTTTGCAAATTCCCTAAATTTCTGTTTATCTGGAAATGCCCTAATTTCACCATCATATTTGAGAAACAGTTTTACTGGATATATAATTCTTGGCTGGCAGTTTTTTTCCTTCAAGGCTTTATATATGTCATCCCATTGCCTTCTTGCCTGCATGGTTTCTGCCGAGTAGCCTGAGCTGATTCTTAATGACTCTCCTTTGTAGAAGATTTTTCGTTTATCCCTAGCTGCTCTTAAAACTCTCTTTATCTTTGGTTTTGGCAAGTTTGATTATAATATGTCTTAGTGACTTTTTTTTTTGGGATTTACCTTATGTGGGGTTCGATGAGCATCTTGGATACATATCTCGTCATCTTTCACAATACCAGGAAAGTTTTCTGCCAACAAATCTTCAACAATTCTCTGTATTTTCTGTTATCCCCCCGTTCTGGGACTCCAGTCACTCATAGGTTATTCTTCTTGATAGAGTCCCACATAATTCTTAGGGTTTCTTCATTTTTTAAAATCTTTTTATCTGATTTTTCCTCAAATAAGTTGGTGTCAAGTGCTTTATCTTCAATCTCACTAATTCTGACTTCCATTGCCTCAACTCTGCTCCTATGACTTTCTATTGAGTTGTCTAATTCTGACATTTTATTGTTAATCTTCTGGATTTCTGATTGCTGCCTCTCTATGGATTCTTGCAGCCTGTTAAATGTCATCATGCGCTTCTCTAATCTTTTTAATTTCCTCTATTGCATGTTCTGCATTGTGCTTTATTTCCTTCCTAATTTTTTGAAGAGTTCTGTATATTAATCTTTTGTGTTCTGCCTCCAGTAATTCCAAGAAATTTTCCTCCTCTGGAAAATTTCTAGATTCTTTCCCTGAAGTCTTCTTAAAACCAAACAACAGTTTCATTTAACTTAATTAGTAAAAAAAGGTCTGCTCTTTTAAGAAATATCCATATGGGATCAAACTGACAACAGCAACTTGAAATATTAGATAGGAACCTTAGGGGGCAGTGAACTAGGTTAATGGGGGAGGAACAATTCAGAAAAAGAGGGTGAGAACGGTTGTACAACTTGAAGAATGTAATCAATGTCACTAAATCATACATGTAGAAACTGTTGACTTGGTGTATGTTTTGCTGTGTATATTCTCAACAACACCAAAATAAATTAAAAAAAAAAAAAATCGTTCTGAATCTTGCTACCCGGGGAAGACTACTTTAACAAAACAAAACAAAAAAGAATCAATAAATGTATGAGTTTACCATTTTTTTTAACCTTAGGTTTAGAGTTATCTATCAAAAAGCTAGTGAAATTCCAGCGCTGTATTACTGCTCATCAGACTGCTTCTATGATAATTTGCATAAACCTTTCAACTCCAGAAATGTCTCGAGATCAGCATTGACTCCATTTTGCATGAACGCCACATCCAACCAAAATATCAAAACATGTGGATGAAAAATTAAAACATTCAGTGATTGTTTTGATTAATCCAAAGACTGACTAACTACCGTACAGAAGAGACTATACGAGACCCTGAAGGAAAAAAAGATGGACAAGACAGAACACTTATCTTCAAGCACCTCACAATCTATCGGGGGAGACAGATCAACAAACAGCTTCCAACATATTCTGGCACAAATAAGTGTATGTAAGTGCTACGTAATAACAGCACATTAAAGTGCTAAACAAAAGCATGTTAAAAAAAAAATCAAAGTCCTTTCAAATCTCAAGCCTGAATCTTCTTTTTCCATAGTCTTTAATTAGCAATGTACTTTGAAAACCGAAGACCAGGGACTAGGCTAGCCAGAATCCTGAGCGGTCAAGAGTTTTAAGACCTTAAGGCCAGAATCCAAGATTACCCCAAAACTGTGGTGAGAAACGTACACTGAGATTTCAAATTCACAGCCCTGTCTACACCCTCTTCCTGATCAGGAAGTTCTTTGAGATTACAAGGCCAGCTTCTTGGACTACCCACAATCTCTGGAGGGGCTCACATGGTCCAATTTGCCTGGAATAGTGTCAGTTTACACCTTTTGTCCTTTTGTCTTGATGTAATTATCATTTCTCTCTGACTTAGATGATAAATTGCTTAGTCACCCTAAACCAAACCAAACCAAACCCGTCGCCATCAAGTTAATTCCAACTCATAGCAGTCCTATAGTACACAGTAGAACTGCCCCATAGGATTTCCAAGGCTGTAATCTTTACGGAAGCAGATTGCCACATCTTTCTCCCGAGGAACCGCTGGTGGATTCAAACCTCCAACCTTTCGGTTAGCAGCCGAGCACTTAACCACTGTGCCACCAGGGCTCCATAGTCAACTTACTGATCAGCACAACACTCTGCTATCCCAGGACCAGGATCCCAACTACCCATAATTCCTAAGTAATAAATAATTCTCAAATCCTAATGTCAGGGTTTTTTTTTTTTTTTTTTTTAATCCACGTACCTGTATCACTAAACTAGTATTTGTATGCACAAGTGAGTATTTTAAGACTTGACGACAGCTGAACACAGCTGATACTGTTTTAACTTTTGGTGCCACATTTGGCACTACAGGCATAGCAAAAATATTAAAGAGGGGTTGACATGTATTTAAACATATGCACCTTGAAATCCATTATAACCCACTGCTATCAAGTTGATTGTAACTCATAGTGACCCTACAGGACAAAGTAGAACTACCCCATAGGGTTTCCAAGGCTGTAATTTTTACGGAAGCAGACTGCCACATTTTCCTCCTGCAGAGCGGCTGCTGTGTTCGAACCACCGACCTTCAGTTAGCAGCCAAGTGCTTAACCACTGCACTAACAGGGCTCCTTGAAATCCACTATAGATACTTTAAACATATCATTTACATATTATGTACCTGCTTATTGGTGTCAGCCACAGTTTCATCCTGAAGAAACTCACTTGGTACTTCAAGTTTTATTAAAAAACGAGCTAAATATGCTCTTTTCTTCAGATCATTAGTCCTCTGAAGAAGCCAGTGGAGCACTGGGTAAATTACAGGTTTACTCCCAATCACCAGACCCTGACGGAAGGTACTCCTAAAAAAAAGAAAACCCGTGTACGCGCATCCACACGTGCATGCTTATCAGTACATCTTGAAAAGAGATAACATTTGCTCAAAATCCAATTTACTATTTCCTGATTGCTTTCCATAACTATTTGTTAAAAATAAAATGAAGTCAGTCTGTACCTAATGAGCATAAAATTAGGCCCTCAAAATATCACTGGAGAATTCAGGGAAATTGTGTTGGAACCATTCATTGTTATAGACATTCTTAATACCTCATTTCATTGACTGGGTAGTGTTTGTTTTTTCTAGGATGGCAGATAAATGATAAAATGGATTAATGAATTTGCCTGACTTTTTGACTGGGGAAAGAACTGTCACACTTAAGGCTTGTGCATGAAATTCAGTGATGTTTTCAGGTCATTAATTTAGGGAGGCCAAGTATTGCCTAAAAAGACTGATTATAACATATGAAGGCTTGGGTGTATTAAAGTGTATTTTTAAAAAAGCAATACATGACTGATTCTTACATGTCCGTAGCATTTCCTGGAGGTTTGTATTTAAGGATACCAAGAAGGCTCAACATTCGTTTGGCTGTCTGCTCTGGCATCTCCTCTCTGATATCAACAACTTGCTAACAAATAAAGAAATTGAAAAAATATGTTATTGTTATATATCTAACAAAGAACAATATTTAAACTGACTGACAAAATTATTCTGCTAGGGCATAAGGGGCACAATGGTCTCTTCACAAAACAGCTTAAGAATGAAGGCCCCCAAATTCTAAGTGAGGGTGCATATGAGTCAGACCAGCGTTCATATTAAGAATGTTAAGCTTAAAAAACAAAACAGTGTATAAGAGACATGAGCTAACCTGCAATATAATAAGACCTTTTGTAAAAGCTTCTTCATTCCAGGACCAAATCTATTTATGTCTGGAAGTAGGGAAATAATTTATAAATAAGGTACAAGCAAGTAATTTCATTTCTAAGCTGGTAGAGAAACTTTAAAGATCATTTACTGTTACTTTACAGGCATGGAAAATAAGGCCCAGAGAGGTTAAGTAATTGCCTGAGAGTCACAGCTACTTAGAGTCGGGAACTGGCTTTCCTGTCCCCCTTTTGCCACAGACTCTACCTGTGCTCTAAAAGCACACCACAGGAGGAAGAGAAAACTCTTACCTTTGGGTCAATCTCAGCCAGAACATCACTGAGAACTTGTAATAGTTGCATTGGCTCCAGGGAATCAAATGTGATTAAATTATAGTTCTTCCTAAAAGGATCCTTATTGAGCTTGTCCACAATGAATTTGATTTGGTCACTCATAATTCGGTCTTATAACTTTCACTAAAGAATAAAAACAGAGACAAAATTTCCAGTGTTGGTAACAACAGTTCTGAAAAAAAGTCAGTATTGAATTCATAGGAAGTAGGCACCAAAGTGTAATTCTACAGAGCATACATAATGCTGTGAAAGGGTTACTTTGTTTAAAGAAATCAGGGTATGAAGACTTTATTATGAAAGCTGAGGTATTTAGTGTTAGTATTTAACATCAGATGTTTCTGAATATGCATGTGGGGGAACAGCAATCATCTGAATTGACATGAATGAATGAATAACAAATCCTACCTACACGTCTCCCACACAGCACCATAACTTCTACCCAGGGATAAAAACCTATTAGGTTGTGAACATGTTTCTCTTTTTTTTTTTTTTTAAATTAGCAGTCCACATTTAAAACACTGGGAGATTTTACATTAAAATACAGATTTCCAGCTTTTTTGAAAAATCAGATCCAGCAACCCTGGGCATGTTCACAGCTAACTGAGGCGGAGCAGGGGCTGCAGGCCTCAGCCTGTGCCTGCACCTTCAGTTCTGTTTTGGTTTCCTCTGCCAGGCACTCTTCACACATTTATATTACAGTTGGCCCTGGAGACATCGACCCTGCCACCCTGGATCAACTCAGGCCTTCATTTCCTCTAGCCTTCAATAAGGCAACAGCCTCCTGTTTTCTGGTCTTTGCCTCTCCTCATTCCAAACCATTTGTATGTTTCTTACTGTCTACAAAATAAAGGCCAAACTTCTCGGATTTTTAGACTCTTTATGATCTAGCTCAACCTAGGCTTTCCCAGCTTTATTTCCAAACTGTTATCTTTCAAACACCCAATTCTTCAGCCAATTGATACAGTCACTGCTCCTTAGTTTTTTCACCTGTACGCCTTTAGATAAGGAGCCCCGGTCGTGCAACAGTTAAGCACTGGGCTGCTAACGGAAAGTTTGGGTTCAAACCGACCCAGTCGCTCTAGGGAGAAAGACCCAATGATCTGCTCCCGTAAAGATTACAGCCTAGGAAACCCTATGGGGCAGTTCTACTCTCTCACCTGGGGTTGCTATGACTCAAAAGTGATTTGACGGCTCCCAACAACCACCACAACAAATGCCTTTAGATAATAGCTGTTTTCTACTCTTCCCCTTTCTCCATCTCCAGAGGCAGAAATCCTACCCATCTTTCAGGTCTTGTCCACCAAATGCAATTTTCTCCATGAAACCTTTCTTAAGCAATCCTCCATGTTCAGCATCAGAGTAACAGCCCTTCCCTCCAGGTGGACCATACCTTATCAATACTTCTCTCCTAGTGTTACTTATTTCCCATTAATTACGTACACATTTTATCTTCTCTACTAAACTCGAAGTTTCATGAGCACAGTTGTGTGCTACCAAGTTGATTCGACTCATAGCGACCTTATAGGACAGAATAGAACTGCCCCACAGGGTTTCCTGGGCTGCAGTCTTTATGGGAGCAGATCGCCAGGTCTTCTCTCCCACAGAGTGGCTGGTGGGTCTAAATCACTGACCTTTCGGTGAGTAGCCGAGCACTTACCCACTGTTATCTAAGACAGTAACCTCTTTCACTAGACTGAATAAATTTGTTCTCATGCCCAAGGCCAGAAAAAACACAAGCCTAAGTCTAAAAGAAATCAGGCTAGGGGTAAGGAAGATAACTTTTTTTAAAAATGGAATATCTGAGTTTTCAATTGTTGAAACAGCTTCACCAAAGTCCTTAGTATTTCCTGCACACAGGTATCACTTGTTTACTATGAGAAGAAGTGGTAGAAATTTGGCAGGCAGGCAATTTTTTTTAAACTTAGCCACTCAAAAATTGTTTTAAAAATGAACAGCTAAAAAAAAAAGAAAGAAAAAATTGCTTCAGTGCTCCATAACAGTAAAAACTATGAACTGGATCATTGCAATTTTACCAAAGATATGAGTCGAAACAGCCTGAATCATGTTCTGAAACGTTTTTTTTAAATTGAGTGGGCAGAGAGAGTTAGATATTTAGAAAACATTAAATTGTAAAAATTTGATCACTTCTCCATAATAAAATTAAGAACAAATTATTATTGTTAAAAATAAGTAAAAAAGAGGGTAACAAGTATGGTTTATACACTTGAGATTTGCTTTAAGCAATAAAAGGAAAACCTTGACGTAAGTTAAAAAAAAAAAAAAAAAATCCACATTGGAGACGCAAGTTTTCCACTGTTTTCGGTAAAGGTCCATGGAATAACCTTCAGACGCACATATATTTAATTCAAAACGATTTCAAGTGATTTAGAATTAGCTCATTAGAAATTCTTTCTCCCCTTAAAAACAGCAAACAAACAAACAAACAAACGAGAAACCCAGAAAAAACGAGTAAAACGTTAACAGGAGGGGAGGAGAAAGTAGCTGGGTCCCCGCCCGCCATGACCACCCGCTTTCAAATGGTCACTCGCTAAGGACAAAGCTGTACCGAACAGGTAGGTTGTCTATACCCAGTGGGCTCTGCGCTCTAAAATTAGCAAAAGCAATTAATCTCCCTCTTTCAGCGGAAAGTCGCCACACTAATTCACAAGCACTTACCCACGTAAGAACCCGAGGGGGTAAGGGGAGAATTAAAACCAGGACGTGCGTTTATCTGGCACAACGCGGCACAGAAACGACGCCGCCCTGGTCCCAGGCTGGCAAGAGCGCTGGACCAGAAATAGTGTCCCCACCCCCTGCGGGCTCGGGAAAGGGTAAGGGACCCCACAGTCTCGGGGCTTCTCTGGGCTCCCCGACGATTCCTCCCGCTGGGGAGCGGCCTGAGTCCAAGCGAGGCCCAGCAGGCCCCCGATTTGAGGGGCTTAGCTGCTGCGGCCCTTCCACCTACAAGGCGCTGCACCACGAAGGGGAGGGGGCGGGGAGTTCTCTCCTTTTTCGGGGTTCGAGGAGTTTTCGGCTCCGGGTTGGCGACGTTACCTCAGATTCTCTTCAAGAAACCACTTTTCCCCCCATCAGGAGGCACCCGGGCTCTACTAGGTTCCTAGAGACCAGCTCCTTGGCAACGGTTGCTAGGCCGTGGTGTGACGTCACTTCCGGCGCGGAGGGTCGGGCGCGTTTCCGCGGGTCCTCCGGGGCGTGCGCTGCGGGCGCGTGCGGGACCCACGTGCAAAACCGCCTCCCAGTTCCGAGCCACTGAGGAGAGTGAAGGGCATTGAGGGCTGCTCGAAATGACAAACCGTGCCCCCGCCTTAGACGCGGCAATAAACCTTTCCAAATGTCCTGCAGTTTGCAGTTTACAGTACTGTCTGCATTTTTAAGCTATGCTAAATGCCCGTGCTGTTTCATTCATTCGTTCACCAAACATGGGTATGATGACTTCTTTGTGTGAGGCAGGCCGGTGGGGGTTGGGGTAAGAAAGCATTTAGCCTGGGCTTCAAATTTAGGTTTTTAAGACAAGTATCTCCAAATTAGGTTATACATAGGAATACTTGTAGAGGGTTTGGGGCAGGATTTAACAAGGCACATTCATCATATAGCTTTCAGCTCCTGTGTCATATTATTGGGCCACATGGCCCAAATTGGGAATTAAATTTTTTCTTTAATCCAGTAATTTTTTAGTATGCTGAGCGCCTAAAAAAAAAAATTAAGTGATTTGCGGCTCCTTCTGGCATCTGAGAGGTTCTACTTAGGCAGAAAGAAATCCTCCTTGGCAGCAGTTAAAGGTTTGAGTCCACCCAGGGGTGCTTTGGAAGAAAGGCCTGGTGACCTCACAGCAGCTGGTTTTAACTGGTTTGGGGCCTTCATGCAGTTCACACCCTATGAGATGAGCAGAGAGAAGATCTTCACACCCAGATCACGGGATGAGGCTGGCAAGTCTAGTGGGACTGACAGGGATGCCAGGATTGTACTAGCTGGTTGGCAAATGGTATTTTGAACCCACCCCTCTATTAGACTGGAGAGTACTGTACTTGGTGATGTCAATTTGCAATGAAAAAAAATAAATAAGAAGAATATCCAATTCCTCACAACCTGAAAATTTAGTTGCCTGCTCAAACATCTTACAAGAAACTAACTACGGATGTAGCATCAGACATATGCCAATAATGATAATAATAACAAATTATGTATTAGACATCTCTGTCTGGATTGGCCTCTTCCGGACATTTCACAGAAATGGAGTCATACAATATGTGGACATTTGTGACTGGTTTCTTTCACTAGTGTGTTTTCAGGTTTCATCCATGTTGTAGCGTGTATCAGTACTTAGTTTATTGCTGAATAATATTCCGTTGTATGGATATAGCCCTGGTGGCGCAAGTGGTTAAGCGCTCAGCTGCTAAATGAGAGGTGGGCCATTTGAACCCACCAGCTGTTCAGCGGGAAAAAGATTATAGCCTTGGAAACCCTATGGGGCAGTTCTATTCTGTCCTACAGGGTCGCTATGAGTTGGAATTGACTCGACAGCAATGGGTTACAGATAGACCACATTTTGTTGATCTGTTCATCAGTTGGTGGACATTTGGGCTGTTTTCCACTTTTTAGGTACTGTGAGTAGTGTTGCTATGATCGTTTGTGTACATAATACATACTCTTCTAAGCATAAAGGTCACTTTGGCTAAGTCAGGTGAGCTGGATATGTATGTTGGGGGTGGGAGTAGGGAGTAGCCAATCAGCCTTACGGTTTGTCTCTTCCTTTCAATTCTTGACCTCTTCAGCGCTGAAGAGGCACTGGTGGCGCAGAAGTTAAGTGCCTGGCTCCTAACTTAAAGGTCAGCAATTCAAACCCAGCAGCAGCTCCACAGAAGCCCTGGCAATCTGCTCCCATAAAGATTGTTGTTGTTGTTATGTGCCGTCGAGTCAGTTCCAACTCATAGTGACCTTATAGGATAGAGGAGAACTGCCCCATAGGGTTTCCAAGGAGAGGCTGGTGGATTCGAACTGCCTACCTTTTGGTTAGCAGCTGAGCTCTTAACCACCACGCTCCCAGGGCTCCATCCCATAAAGATTCAGCCTAGGAAATACTATGGGGCAGTTCTACTCTGTCATATGGGATCCCTGTGAGTCAGGATTTACTCGACGGCATCTGAGTATGAGGGTGCTGATGGCTGCAGACTGCAACACCTAAGATGTAAATGCTTTAGCAGTCTTTGGCTGTAATAACAGATTGTTGCTGGAATCTACTTGTTTTGCTACCAAAGCACTAAAATTCCCAAGAGCCCAAATCCCCAAATTCTGGAATTCCCATATTCCTTGAAGCCTTCTCATGAGAAGATGCTACTGACATGGAAGCCTGTTTCAAATGTTCACCAGCTTCCAGTGGAGGAGAGGATAGGAGGGGTGGCAGAGGTGAGAGAGGGGCTTCAGCCCTCTTGTTTAACCGTGTAGATACTGCAAGGACCGTCTTGTTTAACCATGTAGATGCTGCAAGGACCGTCTTGTTTAACCATGTAGATGCTGCAAGGACCGTCTTGTTTAACCATGTAGATGCTGCAAGGACCATCTGCAGTTATGTGTTGTCTTTATCCTGCCAGGATGCTGCCAGATACAGAGGCAGAAAAAAGACAACACACTCGGGTTAACTAGTCCTTCAGAGGGAAAAAAAAAAAAATCACTCCTCGTCAAGTGTATTTTTTTTTAGACTCAGTTTAGTATAGGATAAAAAATAAGGAGGGGATGTAGTTATTTTATGTACTTGTGAAATCCAAGGATATTACTACTTTCTGGTATGGCTTGATCTAGGAGCTCAGTCACGTCATCTTCACATTCTTTCTCCCTTCATTTCTCTGTCTCTCATCCCTACTTTCCTCTGAATGGGCTGCTAGTAGCAACAGATTGACACTACCAGCCTAGCAACCTCAGTAAAAGTTAAAAGAACTTTTTCTCCAGTTATTCCAGCAGACTTCCCAGGGCTGATTCTCAGTGGCCTGAAGTGTGTCAAACCATTCTTGGACCAACTGCTGTGACTCTGATGGCCACAGGAGCAAACCAGATGAGGGTGGTTCCCCAAAGGAAGGGCTGGATTCTGTTACCCGAGGTGGAGATGCGAGGCAAACAAGAACAGTTGATGCCCAGTATGGGTGCCAGGGGGGGCGGTTAAATCTCAAAAGCTGGGCAAGGAAACGGGAAAGATGAATAAAGGAGCCTGGACTTGTTGTACAGGGAAGAACTCTATCAGTGAGAACCTCCTCCCTGATTTCCTTCCAAACAACTTATCTTTCTTCACTGCTAGGATTCCAACGTGAAGAAAAAGAAGATCTAATTCTTGGGGTATTGGGATAACAGCAGATCCTCCAGGTCCCTGGAATATCTGAGGATGCCCTTCTCATTTCAGAACTTCCAAACAAGAATTTTCCTATGCACAGCACAGGGAAGCCAAGCCAATTTTCTGTTTTTGGTATTAAATTTAGACCTTTCATCCTGACCGCGAGATATTTCTGGATTCTGCACGCGTATTCAATGAATGCCAGCACTCAAGATGCTATCCCATCTGGGGCTACTCTGCACACTGCCTACACTTCTCATTCTCTCAAAACTAGGAAAAATGACCCTGTAGCAGGAGCAAATTTGGAAGTGGGTTGCTCACCTATCCACGGATTGTCATTGAATGCCTTTGCCATCTTGGTTACTTGGAGATGAAAGAAATTCCATGGAAACCCGAATTGAGGTTTGCAGATACACTAAATTGTCTCTGCTCTGGCAGTTTAATCCTGTGTAGTAGCAAAATATGCTTTCCTAAAAGGTAAAAAGTGAAGTAATATGTGAAACATTTAACTGAATGGATGAAATTACAGGGGTCTTATTAAACATGTACCTGGTACTACATTTTTGTCAAATGGGTTTGTTGTTGGTTATTTTTACTTTTAATGGGTTTTGTATTTTCAAACGTGCTGTGGTTTGCAAAGACTGGACATCACTGATGAGATTAATGGGCAATGTAGAGTATCCAAAATATTGCACAATTCATATTAATTCCTTGGCTATCAGTATGGATTGAAATACAGGATACACTTAACGTTCTTACCGGATTCATATAATAATCATAAGCATGAGTGCTTTCTGTATGTCAGGAACTTAGTGAAATACTTCACATGTGTCTGAATTTATTAAAATATTTATGTGTGTACTCCATTTCCCCTCCCTGTACACAATTTGCATTTCCTTGGCTCAAGGATTTTTGCAGGTTGAAAATCAGAAGCTGCACTTCCTGTTGTAAAGAACTAAAGTCTTTGGGGGGTGTCATGGACTGAATTGTGTCCCCTAAAAATATCAGTCAACTTGGCTAGGTCGTGATTTCCAGTATTGTATGATTGTCTACCATTTAGTCATCTGATGTGATTTCCCTGTGTTGTATATTCTATCACTATAATGTAATAAGAGGGATTAGCAGCAGTTATATTGATGAAATCTACTAGATTAGGTAGTATTTTAAACCAATCTCTTTTGAGATATAAAAGAGAGAAGTGAGCAGAGACACATGGGGACCTCATACCACCGAGAAAGCAGTGTCAGGAGCACAGCACATCCTTTGGACCTGAGGTTCCTGCGCAGAGATGCTCCCAGACCAAGGGAAGACTGATGACAAGGACCTTCCTCCAGAGCCGACAGAGAAAGAAAGCCTTCCCCTGGAGCTGACACCCTGAATTTGGACTTGTAGCCTACTAGACTGTGAGAGCATAAACTTCTCTTTCTTAAAGCCATCCACTTGTGGTACTTCTGTTATAGCAGCACCAGATGACCAAGACGGGGAGGGACTATGCTGGTTGTCCCCAAGTGAGGAAGGGGGAGGGGAGTACCATCAAGGGTAAGAAGAGAGAAGAGAGGTGCTACAAAGGTAGGGAAGGCCCCCAGGTTGATAAGGCCTGAGCAGCTCCTGAGAAGGAAGGACCCCGCAGGGAGTCCAAGCCCTGAGTCCAGTGCCTTCCATTCTGGCCAGAGCTTTCCTTGGCCCAGGCCTGACATGGAAGCACCAATGCTATTAGACCTGAAAGGACTTAGGCCACCTGGGATGATGGGTGACCAAGCAGTCACCAGGGTGGGCCATTGACAGAAGACTGCAGGGGATACCCCAACACTCTGTTACTGCAT